CCAGTAACGTCGCCATATGACCTATACTGTGTCGGTGTAACGTAAAACCCAGTCAAACAAATAACAGTTTGTTTCAATATCATCAAGTCACTTCTTACTTAGTTGCATAACGCACACTACACAATTTATTGTTCATTTTGAGACAATGTATTGGTGCACATACAAATTTCAATTTTGGTGATTACAATAGGCCTGTAAAATAATCATCCCTATATAGAATACGAATATTTAACTACCCGGTAATAGTACAAAGACCTCCGATCACCTCTGCAGAGATAGTGACCGCCATAAACGAAAAATCGCAGAAATAATTAAAGCGTTAATTGTATAATCTATCAAGAGAAAGTTATATGACGATTCGAGAACGGACAACAGAGTGCATCTATCTGATTAAAGTTCAGATCTACTTATTTCTTTAGGATATGATTTTAATCTGATTGCCGAGTGCATGTGGTCATTTTAAAGAATTGCTGGGGCATTTAAATTATTTAGTGAATTAAAATGTTTTGGAAATATGAATTAATTTCTACAAATATAAAAGAAATCCACGGGACATTTCTTCAATGTGTCTGTGAAAGTTGAGAAAATGCAAGAACATAATTGACTGGAAAACGGTAAATAACGCTGTGTTATTCAACCCTAACAAATGATCACTATGTAATAAATTAGGAATGATAAATTTTGTTGTAAAACTAAAGCACGTACATTATGCACAATTTATAATGGGCTTATAGTGATAGAGTTCGCCTCATGGCTCGCAAAACCTAATTGTCTAAAATCAGCAAATCTGAATACGTCCCATACGTTTTACAAAATTAAAACGGTAAGTTAGCCTTTCTATTTTAAAGATCCTGTATGTTTTGTGATTGATATTGTTACTGTGTGTATACCACACTTGCAAAAAATTATATATGTTTTTAATTATGCAAATAAAACAATTTTTAAACATCGAAGAATATGTAAAATGTGTAATGCAAATATTTGTGCACATTTTATTTAATCAATAAACTACATGCATTCATTTCTTATTGGAAAATTTGACTTATAAGTATAGGAAAGTAATTTCTAATTACCTCCCTTTATTTACATGAAATGTTAAATTGGGTAATATCTTTATAAATAATGCTTATTGGAACTTACAATATTGATAACACTTAATTTGAACACCTTATTAATAGAATAATAACATGAAAAAATTGTGTTACAGGATCTTTAAGGAGCACATGAATCTGTCTGTTGATTATTATGGAATTGACTTTTGATTCAAAAGTATGGTATGTTTTAGCTAGTTAGAATTATTTTACGGTCCTTTAATTACTTAATGTATTTTAGTTAGAAATAAAACACTTGAATGATATATTTTTCTCTTTTTAACAAGGAAGACAAGACTGTCATAGAATGTTGAAGCTTTAGTAGATTGATGTTTAAAAAACAAATTATTCTTGCATTTCGATGGTAACATATTTTTTTCTGCATTCGGATATTGTTGGATCGAGCCTAGTTCGGGTAACGAATCCTCGTATGACATCATTAGGCAATTTTCGTCAGTTATAGGACACATTTCAAGACCGTTTTGAATATAATCAGAATATGTATTATGAACAGATATAACATGAAAAGGATTATTTGACTGCACCAGAGAAAAATCAAGAGATGGTAAATATGGAGTGAAAATCAGATGCACTATTTTTAAGTGTTGCGTAGCCCAACATAAAAAATAAGCAATTGCTGGCATACGAAACAAAAAAAAATACATTTTTGTGTGATTTTGGTACATTTTACTGTTGTTTTGTTTGTTGTTTTTTGTTGTTGTTTTTTTGTCGCGAAGCATCAGAAGCTCTTAATGTTTGATAACGTCCTTACGTCGAATGTCCTTATTTCTTTTTGTTTACGTGGCGTAACTATCTTTTACGATTTTACTTCTGACGACTTACATATTTCCTCCGATGTTATTCACTATTGACCTAAAAAGCGTGCCATGTAAAGAACAAAACATGTGCATTATGATTGTAAAACAGGACAAATACAAGAAAAGAGATCGACAAGGCAGGACAACCTTCACTGGACGTAGCCCCCTACAAAATCCAATCACACCGGGACACCGGAAAGGCACCCAGCAGAGCACAAAACAAAAACCAGTAGAGCGCCAAAAAGGCGTGGTGTGGAGTGGACGTACCAATAAATGATATCACTAAATAAGGAAACCCCTTCAATAGCAAAGACATATGAAAAAAAATCATTTATTAAAGCAATCAAATGCAATTAAAGTAACACGAGTAGGAAATATCTGTGACTAATAAATATGATCTTCTTTGAATTTGTTTGCAGATTTATATTTTACTCAAAAATTGAAAGTACCAGTTTACAACCATGATGCGTTTTTCAGCAATATTTATACAGTTAATGAATGGGCATATTAAAAATTTCAAAAGAACATACAAGAGTGTCTGGACAAAGACAGCTAGGAAGGCACTGTAAATTTTCATGTCTCGGTCGTCATTTTGTTACGTTTTCAACCAAGAAACAAGTACAAAGTGGTATTCGTACAACAAGAAACAACAATATACGCAATTTAAAGGCAGATGTTTATACATATTTTAGATGGGGCTAGATATTTTACCCTTATCGAATAATGACCATGCAGGAATCATGTTAGTGGGAGGGTTTCTAAGACAACTGTGGCTTTTTATTAATAAAACAGATTAAAAAAATAATGACCTAAAAATAAATGGTCGGGGTCAATATTTCACATGCTTTGTGTTGGTTTTAAGTCAGTTTAATAAAACAAATGGATCACTTCTTGTGACTGAGGGTCTAGTATTCAAGACGGGTAACTAGTGTTGTACCATTGATCAACTCAATTAATGGATTGCTTCCCCTGTGGATCTATTTAAAGACCACTTGAACTATGCCAAGGGGATGATCCAAAAAAATCATATTCAATTATCAATAATCATATATACCCTCCAAACTTCATATCCTCGAGATTAAGCTCCTGGTGTCGTGGTTATTACTTGTAGCTGGTGTCAGCTGGTGTTAGCGATTATATTGTAGCTAATGTTACAAAGAGGAAGAACCCATCCACATTCCAGCTATGACTTAAAATACTTTTTGTCTCGGTTTCTACTACAGACGCAACATATTTAGTTACTGAAAGCACAGATATACTATTCTAAGCTCCATGCTGAAAGGCATTTATTTTATTGTGGAAGTATTTGGTCTTTTCTGTTAACACTGTTAACTTAACAAAAAATGATGAAAAACCTTGGAATCACCCAAAATCTAGTTTTTCCATGTTAACATGTGGTCTTTTACCTAATTTTGGTAAAAAATTGTTGTTTTGTAACATTTATAATTTTTTTAGTTAACCCTTTCCCCCATGAGCATATTGTGAAAAATGGCCATTTTCACTGAAAAGCCTCCTGTTACAAGTTTAAACTGCTATGGAACTATGAAAAATGCTTCAATACTAATCAAACTTGGCACAAATGTTGACTGGACCATTGCCTTTGTAACGACATGCTCAGTCTTAAATTTCCTGTTACCATGGCAACGAGGGGACATCTCAAAATTGCCAAAAATCACTTTTTTGCCTCGATTTTTTCATCAAAATTTATTTCAAAGTGCTGCAACTTCTCAATGGATTGAGATAGAGTCAAAGGCTTTTCAGCGTTGGTTACCCGCTACCTAATGATCGACCTGGGTGTCATTTTAAGTCTCTCACAAGTCCAGAATTTTCTTGGCGATGAGGGGGACTCCGCCCCACTTCAAATCCCCCAAACAGAAGGGGGCACATCCCCCTTCTGGCAACCCCCTGATGTAATATTTGGATGGGGGACGGCGCCGAAAAAATGGTCACTTTTTTTAACAACATTTCTCAAACGAAAGACAGTGTTTGGGGCCTAAATAGGGCATTTTTTCACTGTTTGAGGCCTCAAAAGGGGGGGGGGGGCAAAAAGCCGTCGAAACACGCTTATATAAGGGAAAAGGTTAAAAAGTTAATCAATGGAATGGCTTTGGTCTGTCTGTAAATTCTGAACACATTGTCTGTAATGAATATGAGTTTTTTCCCCTACATGATTAAAAATTCACAACTAGTTTATTGTGCATTATTTCATAGATATTATATACAAATATATTTAGCTCCATGATTATTTGTAGATTAATAAAGGCCGGTGCAAATTTATCACCCTGGCTTTTTGTAAACGTATCTCATTTTTTAAAAGCATCTACACAAAAGGGGCACACATTCTAATTTAAACTTCTTAAATGATCATATTGGACCATACAGGCTTTTTAATTATACGTAAAATATCAGTTTGTAATGTTATACATATTTCCATTCAATTCTACCCTATAAAGTGCCTACATGCATTACACCAAACAAGGACAAACAGGACGATTTAGGAAAGTAACGACAAGATAAGAAAATTGTTGATTTATAAATTATAGCTTTCCGATTTTTAGAATTGAATGTGTTTAGGTGAGCAATCGAAAATGTCTGTATAATGAATTCAATCAATAACGGAACGTTTCAATAATAATAATAATAATAATAATAATAATAACAGAGACATAGATAATTATCTATGTCTCTGTTAATAATAATAATAATAATAATAATAATAATAATAATAACAATTGTAGTATATCGATATATTTATTAACATGATATTTGGGCATCGTGACTGGTATATGAGCCAGCAGGGTCAATATACGTATATGTACTGTTACCGTCCTTAGGCTAACTGGTTTAATGTAAATGCATTAAATTAATCTGTTTCCGATATTTAATTGTCTAAACCATAATTTGATTTTCAGTTTAGTTAATTTAAGACACGTTTATTACTGGTACAGCGTGTACAGCCTACAATTACCCTACACGTTCAATTAAGGTCAAATTAGGGCACCTGTCGATTGATTCGGAAGCTGAGTCTGTCGATTGGCAGATCGCGGGAAAAATTGATCACATGACAAAATGCGGTGATCTGATTGGCCACCTATGTCAACATCGTAATGATGCATTGGTAAAATGGCTGGGGGAGAGAAAATGTGTGTGTAATATATTGTTAATTTAATTCAATATTCCGCGTGTTTGGATTTTATTAACGCTGTGTGAGAATGGATTAAGGCTGTATAGGTATGCAGAAATCCTTATAGTGTATTAACTATGCATAGAAACGAAAGTAAAGCTTTGTGCAACAGGCACATTCTTGCCAACGGTTCAGTACAACAGTAGTGGATATTTTTTTTTACTGTGCAGTGCAACTAGAGTATGATAACATTTTGTTTTGGGAGGAGAAAATTTATAGATTATGATAGCAGTGGAATGTAGCCGACTTTTACTGGTTTAGTAAATGAAATAAATTTCTGTGATATTAAGCACCCATTGATCATAGTGTTCCTTTTATTATTAAGATAAGTGTTAATGGACCAGCGTTATATATAAAAGTCTCTTTTATAATTAACATTAAGGAATGAGTTATAAAGATTTTAAAATGAGACAAAAATTTAACATTTGTTACTTGATAGTCATGACTACTAATATTAGACCACAGGGTTATCATGACAAGACTCCTATAGGGATTTAATTTAATCCTGTAGAAAGATGTGAACTAAAATTGTATATTGTACTCCTGTGAAAGTTTGTTTGATTGAGATGAGGGTAGATGCTGTCAGTCACTCTGTTTATTTCATATTTTTAAATTTAGTAAGCTTTTTTAAATGTGTGTCAAATTACCTCTCAAAACTTTCATAATGTTGTTTTTGTCTCACTAACTTGAGAAAGATTCTTGAAAAATTGATAAAATTTGAACAGAAAATAGATAAAAAGGTAAAACATGTAAACTAAATGAGTGTTGCTGATTTATTTTCAGTAATTTTTTATTGTTGTGGAGTAAAAAGACCATGCCATGTATACCTCATTCTGGATCTTAAAGAAGTACAAGTTTCCATTTCAATAACTAATTTTTGTTGTGTATCAACTATCCTAAAGTCTTTGAACCAAACTTGTTTATAGGTAGGTCAATCTTTTAAACTCAAGATGATTAAGATATTGCAAAAAATATGTGATTAAGTGTCAAGAGTTATCTCTCTAACTAGTATATTTAAATGGAGAGGAAGCTACATGACTTTATACACTTAAAATCTGTATCAGGCTTCAGCGATTAATTATCTGGCAAATTCACACTTTTTGTGAGATTTTTTGAAACCATGTTCCATCAAAGAAAAAAAATAACTACAATGATTTTTTCTTTATATAAGTGGTACTGTCAATAACAGACCCTTTTAAACTCCGGGCCCACGGACATGTTCTCAAAATTCTAGTGAAAGTTCCAAATCTTGATAAAGTTATCCTTTACTTATGCCTTTTTGCCGTATTTTTTCATTTAATGATATTTCAACCCTTAATATGTCGTTGTGTTGTAGTAATATTCATGTTAACATGTTACTTTTTATTCAAACCGAAAGTTTAATTGCTTCTTAAAATAATATTCCAATTAGATTTGCCATTTTTTTTTCTTATGTGCAGTTTAATAGATCAGTGTCAATGCACATGTTTCTGTGTGCTTCATATCCAATATTAGTCCAGAATTTTAGACAACAAACACATAGTCATTAGTGTCGCATAGTGCAGTGGTGGGTCATCCTACAAAATTATATATATATATTACTTCTTAGGTGACAATATGCATCAATTGGTAATTCATTTTAAAATTTATATACATGTATAAGATTAGGGGACAGAATATTCTTACACATCACCACAGAGCTCAACATTTCTCTGGAAAGCACTATAATATTATATGTTACAAAGGTTTTGTAGTACCTTTATCATAAAATATTCAACCCTTATCCTGTTAAATATCTTAAATGGACTTGCCCATCATCCAATCTGGACAGAACCATTCATTTTTAGGGAATTTTCAAATTATAATTTATTTACTGACTGAATAGTGCTGGCTGATCTTGGTCTGCATTGGTGGCATGGTCTGGATAAAATATGTTGCCCCCCCCCAGCAGACTTAAAGTTAAGGGTTACTTATATTGTATAACATGATTGACTTATTGTATGCTATTAAGTCAATTACATAATAAGTATGTTTTATACTTCCAAAAGTTTATGAAAGGTAATAGTGGCCAATGTTGATTGTACTAGATATGGTAAATATTGTTTGAAATGCCTTCAAGAATTGTGTTTGGAAGTGCTCCTTGATGTTAATGATACCATTTTTCATCCTTAAAAAAGTGAATCTGTCTGACAGCTTAAAATTGAATGTCTTAAATGTAAATTATAAACATAATAGCAAATCATGTACAGTAGGAGATCAAAAAGCAATAATGGGAGTATTTTTTACACAATATTTAAATAATTATTTGAACAAATTGTTTACTACAGTTGGAGTGTTGGAAATTGTGTTTGAAACACATTTCAAAGGGGTTTATTTGCATATTGATAGAAAATTACAAAAGGAGCAGTAAACAGACTTTAATCTCAACAACATGTTTGATTTTCACCAATAAAATTGCTTTTGATGATGAACTTGAAGTGGGTGTATTTGTTGCCCGGTAGATTGATTTGGCTGTTATAGCTGGTAAGAGGGGAAAAAACTGCTAAAACTATTGATTTTATAGGTAGTACATATATGACAGCCCTCCTGCTTTTTTGTCTCACTCAAAAGAAACATCTTTTTTGAAGCAAAAAGAATGTGTATCAGAGTATTATCATACATGTTTATTACGATCTATTTTTAGTTTTTGGTTAATAAGGTGTTTAAATTTAGTATTAAAATATTCAGTATGATTTGTTAACAGCTTCAAGCTGAGCCATGTAACCAGAGGATGGACCCATGTCTGTTTAAGTGGCTTTTGTAAGCCTATTGAATAAGCAATCAAGCAGATTTAAAATTTTTAATACTGCTTTAATTATATTGTATACCTGTTGCTATATTAACCACCCTGATGTCTTTCTCAATAGCTGTAAATTTGGCCTGAATATTTAAGCAATATTAAAATTAATGTTTAAATTGTCATTCTTATCTGAATTCTGATGGGACCCTGACACATAAACAATCTTTGAAGAAATAATTGTGTGGCTGAAAAATTCAGAAGCTGATATCCAAACATGTATAAACCAATTTTATATAAGGGATGACTTACCCATGCTGCTTCCAAGGGGTTAAACATTGTCACTGATTGACCTGGTTTACATAAAAGTATTCATGTATGGTTCTGTGGTTTATTTTATATAAGGGATGACTTACCCATGCTGCTTCCCAGGGGTTAAACATTGTCACTGATTGACCTGGTTTACATAAAAGTATTCATGTATGGTTCTGAGCAGTTGACATAAGCAATGTATAGAAGAGATGCGGATAAATTTTCAGAAGATTAATTTTCAACATTGATGCTTTTTGCAACATTTTGATACTATAAATTGTCTGACAATTGATTAAGATGAATTGCTACCATGAATACCTGACACAGATTGCAGTTAAATGCAAAAGAGTACATATGGAGACATACAATTTTGTTACAATCATTTTTGGGCACTAATATTGCTAAGTTTAAACAGAAATCTCTCTAGCCTGTTAACAATGATGATTCTGAACTGATTTGATTCATACTAGGACAAAACATCACTGAAATGTTGAATATTTCAAGTACATCATGTATGACCTTGATCTGTAAATTACCTGGACTGCCAAGGTTAACTACAAAATTTTAATTCTATTTTGTACAAGGAACAATATTTTTTTGAAGAATTTTTAACTGCAATATTATTCTTTTGATGTTTTGGTTCAGAAATAAGAAAAAGTTAAGCTTGGCTTCCACTTGTGGATGTGTTTTGACTTGAGTGATATTTTTTTATTCATTGATTGATTGATTGATTTTCTTTAGACATGGTCAAGGATAACCTACGAAAGTGCAAGCACTTATTTCCAGTAGGGTCCTTACCTCAACAGACTCTAGAGACAGCTATGAGATACAAGGGAGTCCAGGAACCAGTCCCTAGCTCATATTGAATAGATCCCTTGGTTCTTTTACATGCCCAGTGTAAAGCACTGATACACGCGAGGATTAACCTGGGTTCAAACACGGAACCTCAGGAGTGACAGTCAGTGGTCTAACCAACTGAGCTATCGTGCCACCTCTCATTCTATTAGATCACAGTAACCATATATTCTTCTGTTAATGTCCACTTTCTTTTATTTATTAAGCTCGTTTTAGATCTTATTAGCTGTGATGATTGTCCTAGTTCTATTGGTAGCTAATTTTTACATTCACTTTTCCATTTTGTTATTGACATTTTTAAGGGGCATTGTTTCTCTTATCATCTGTCAGTATTGTTTAGATTAAATCACTTTATCTATTCTGTTCCTCAAATAGATGTGAATATTTCTGGGATGTTGCTGGGATGTGTGTAATGGAAAAGTTAATGAAAGTCTCTGAGGTCAAGATTAGAGCCATTGTTTCGTTATTGAGTTTACAAATGCAACTGTATGATTTCAGCATGGGATAAGACATATATCTTAAGACTTTTTAGAACAGATTTTTAAAACACTTTCTGCGGAAACATACAATAAATTCGTTACAGAACAATTACCAAAAGAAGATTTGAATTTGATGCCTGGAGCCAACTTGTAGTGAAAAGTAAATGACTTTAAAACTTTCATTTTATGATTTAGAGCACTAAAGAAGTTCTCCATCAGTTGATATGAAATATCTTGTCATATATAGCTAATGTTTCATTCATTTAAGAAGTTTGAAATTAAGGACATAATACAGACTTCCCGAAATACGTCGGTCCGACGGACATGTCCGATAAATTTTGATTAGGTCCGACCATTTTTTATTACGGATCGGTCCGACTGTCCGGCTTTTATCCAAGTAGCATGTATACAAAATGGCATCGCTTAAGGTGCTAAACCTGGGAAAAAACGAAAATCTACGTCAGAGGAGTGTGCAGAACAGCAGTTAAAGAATGAAAAGAATAGACCGGAGATAAAATTTAATGAAAAATGGAAGCAGGACCGTGAATCTTTGGTGTACGACAGGGAGTATGTGAAAATGAGCTGTACGGACTGTGCCGATTTTTAAGGCGAAAAAATTAAAACCGAAAAGTGTCTTAGAAATACAAACACAAGGTTTCCTTTGATTTTGATTAATTTCATTCAGTCTGACAGATTTCATTTCGGTCCGACAGATTTTCATGGTTTGTCAGACGGAATGTCTGACACTTTTTTTTTAACTTTCGGGAAGTCTGATAATAAGCAGTTTTCTAAGATTTTGAGAAATATAAATAGACTGTGATAAATGTAAATGTGAAGGTCATCCTTAAAGGAGCTTGTGTTTTTGTTTAGGTCATTATTTTATGTATAAATCCATTCATTATCACTGAACTACTTTCTTTTGTTTATTTTCGGAGGAAGTTAATACTTTCATCAAAATTCCTGCACTAAGAGCAGTTACCTTTGATCTGTAAGTAATGAAGGTTGTGTATTGTGATCATGGCACTTACAACATTCATGTTTATCTATTCTTACTAAAGGATTTAACACAACTGTCCATCATTAAATAAATTATTCAACAAGACAATCTGCTCTAATTTAATATATTTATGGTGAGTAAAGCATTGACTCTGGTTGGAGTAAAGTATTGACTTGGTTGAGTAAAGCATTGACTCTGGTTGGAGTAAAGTATTAACTTGGTTGAGTAAAGTATTGACTTGATTGAGTAAAGTATTGACTTGGTTGAGTAAAGTATTGAATGGAGGCCTACTTAAGATTATGAACATCAGTAGGAAAAACACTGTCTTAAATCTGGGTCAGTCTTCCTATTGTGAGTCTAAAAGAATATTGGATATTACCCAAATAATTTGTTACCATTGTGTATTGGTTTGTAATCATAACTTGTCAAGTAGAGATATCCCAGTCAATACTACCATTATATGGTCTGATGGATAATTTCTGCTAAAGAATTTATGGACTTAGATAGCAGTGACTGTCAGGTCTCAATATTCTAGTTTGAGTTTGACACTTTTTCCCCACTCAAGAGTTTTATTGATTTCTTTTATTATATCATTAATATTATATAATACAGAGCTGGTTATGACAGTGAATGGTCTGAAGTAATAACCCCTTGGCCTTGATCTCCTCAAATGTTACATTCAATAATTATTACAGTTTTTGAAAAAAGATGTTAGTTTAGAAATTAGAAAGTTATGGTAAAGAAAACACAGAAAGAACAGTATTTATTGAGAAATAATCATGTATGTTCCTTTCCTGGATAAAAATTATGTTCTACAAATGTGTATAAATTTGTCTTGTGTAATTTATTGCATTTCATTAATTAGTTTGTATGAATTGAAAGTCTTGTCTTCCAATGAAATATAGAATGTTCTCATTTTGAGCATATCAACAATGTACAGGCCATTGATTTTACAATGTACTTAGGTGAGCTAAGACATACATGTATATTAATTTAAAAAATGTTGTGAATTTTAGTGTTTTAGGATTGATATTTTTTTGCAAAGCAGTTAGGAAGGAAACAAATGGTACAATGTTTTAGGTTTGTGTGTTGACTGCTTCAGAGTTGTGATGTCAAATGTCTGTCCATCTGTCAGTAAAAGTTGTCTGCACTTCTCCTCAAAAACTACTGGTGCAATATCATTCAACTTCGCAGGAATGATAAGTACCAATTCTAGTTGGGCACATTGTTGGCTTTTTCCAGTTCATTGATTTTTGAAGACTCTTTAATTTATGTTTTTGGCTAGACTTCTTCTCTTACACTTCTAATGGAATTTGAGTGAAACTGCTTAAACTGCTTAAATGGCTCCCTTGGTTCAACCGCTTAAATGGCTCCCTCGGTACAACTGCTTAAATGGCTCCTTCGGTTCAACCGCTTAAATGGCTCCCTCGGTTCAACTGCTTAAATGGCTACCTCGGTACAACTGCTTAAATGGTTCTCCGGTTCAACTGCTTAAATGGCTCCCTCTGTTCAACTGCTTAAATGGCTCCCTCGTTACAACTGCTTAAATGGCTCCCTCGGTTCAACTGCTTAAATGGCTCCCTTGGTTCAACTGCTTAAATGGCTCCCTCGGTTCAACTGCTTAAATGGCTCCCTCGGTTCAACTGCTTAAATGGCTCCCTCGGTACAACTGCTTAAATGGCTCCCTTGGTTCAACTGCTTAAATGGCTCCCTCGGTTCAACTGCTTAAAATGGCTCCCTCGCAACTCGGTTCAACTGCTTAAATGGCTCCCTCGGTTCAACTGCTTAAATGGCTACCTCGGTACAACTGCTTAAATGGCTCCCTCGGTTCAACTGCTTAAATGGCTCCCTCCGTTCAACTGCTTAAATGTCTCCCTCGGTACAACTGCTTAAATGGCTCCCTCGGTACAACTGCTTAAATGGCTCCCTCGGTTCAACTGCTTAAATGGCTCCCTCGGTTCAACTGCTTAAATGGCTCCCTCGGTTCAACTGCTTAAATGGCTCCCTCGTTACAACTGCTTAAATGGCTCCCTCGGTTCAACTGCTTAAATGGCTCCCTCCGTTCAACTGCTTAAATGGCTCCCTCGGTTCAACTGCTTAAATGGCTCCCTCGGTTCAACTGCTTAAATGGCTCCCTCGGTTCAACTGCTTAAATGGCTCCCTCGGTTCAACTGCTTAAATGGCTCCCTCGGTACAACTGCTTAAATGGCTCCCTCGGTTCAACTGCTTAAATGGCTCCCTCGGTTCAACTGCTTAAATGGCTCCCTCGGTTCAACTGCTTAAATGGCTCCCTCGGTTCAACTGCTTAAATGGCTATAAAAAAATGATCAGGCAACACATGTTATCACTGATCTTCTTGTTATTGTTTGTACATAATATATTTAACTAAATTTTGACCAGTTTAATTCTAAAAAGGTCTTTACTTTAAATTCAATAATTTTTGTCTATTGAACAATTGGTTTGTTTATTTTTATTTTGATACTTGCTTTTGTTGATTTTCATGTTTGTGTTTTGGATCTTCATTGAAATAATTGGCAGCAAAAGTTTACTTTAATGTATTTGAAAATATTACAGGAGCTAATGTGATGTGTACTGCTCTGGAATGGCCAAAGCCTTCGACTTCCAGTGGCGTATTCCTGTACCGGAGCGACTACAAAAAGGAGATATATTTGAACGATGGGATGAGGTAAGATTTACTATTACTTGGGTTTGTTTTCTTGATGATGATTATTTGAATGCTTATGTACCCATCTGTTGTCAGGGGTGCAAATCTTTAGAACTTGTTGAATCTGTCTGGATTTTTCCATTGAAACTAGCTTCTAGAGCTTTACTTACCTATTTATCTATACAGGTAATTTGAATTTTCATCAATGGCAGCCAATGACTGAGGTTAATTGTAATTCTATGTTTAGACATTTTTTAAAGGAGTTCCCTTGGCTGTGTGATTAAAGTCGCTTTAATATTTAATGCTAGAATGTGACATTAACCATGTTATAAGGATTAAAGGGCAATAAAAGTTGTGTTCTGTATTAAACTTCAATCACAACCTGTTATGTGAGACTAAAATAAGTGATGTTTAACAACCAATTGTTTATATAATTATAGGAATGTTCATCATTAGAATCGTGTTGCTTGGTGAAGGTTGATGAGAATGGATTCTTTATCTACTGGAAAAGTGATGGCAAGGTAACATGATATAAATTGTCCATCAATATGTTATAGTGCATAGGCAGTCTTAAACATTCATATAAAAGGACCCCCCCTATCACAAGCTAAAATATATATACAAAATGTAAAGTTTCAAACAATGCGGATGAAAATTGTGGGGGGAAAATGATGTGATGCCTTTCTAATTTACCTTATTATTTATTAGCAAAACTATAATCTATTGTAATAATTTAAGTAAAATATCTACCGGTTTCACCTGGATCTTCAAGAAAATGACGTTAATAACTCAGCTTGTCATGATCATCATCATCAGGTGGCCACCGATCGCTCTTGTTTACATTGTTTTGGCATTACATGCACATTTTACCAATTTCTGATGTTAAAAAGTTCTGAATATACAGTCGACTCCACTTATAACAAACTCGCTTATAAGGAATTATCGTTAATAGCGAACTAAATCTGACATCCCTGGCCGATACCTTCTTTATTTTATATCAAATCACATCGCTTAATACGTACTCGCTTATAACGAATTTTCAGCTATAACGAACTATTTTTCAAGCCCCAAATGACGAAAAGCATGTAAATTCCCTCGGTTATAACAAACAGTTATAATTGAAATATCGGGATGCGCTCAATTAGGATCAGTACATGAATAACGCTATCCGATAATTATACAATCGAATGATTGTACAGGTTAGTTATGGCTTCAGGGAATAAAGATTTTGATAAAATGTTCTCACAACATAATTTCCTACTTGTTACGGAAATTTGTATTTCGCACCCTCAGTTGATTGATGTAAATACCTGATAATTACCAAATAATCGATTGTTTTTGTTTGCAATATAAACCAAACGATAATAAACAATTAGCAAAAGAATACAAATGGTAAGCACTTTATAGACAAATAATACATGAATAAATACATGTACCATGTACATAATATATTGTTCAATAAAATGCCCCGCATTAAATAAGCATTAAATAACCGCTTTAGTAAAATACCGGTTACACAGGTAACCAGTGAAAAGTATGGCTTTTTCACGGCAAATTTCCCAATCCAAACAAGTCAGCAAGTGGTTGCTACTTCGCTTTTAGCGAACTTCGGATATAACGAACGATATTTTAATGTCCCAGTGAGTTCGTTATAACCGGAGTCGACTGTATATCATTCACAGAATTTGCTTGTTTTAGGACATAAGAAAACATACAGTTTGGTTGTTTAAATTTCCTTCACTTGTGTGCAGGTGTTGCATCTGTATCTCTGTATTGATATATTATCTTATTAGTAAAAATACACTTGGTGATAAACTTACCACAATAAGAATAATTGATTTGTTTTCCTAAACAGCCTTTTAAATGTTAAATACCTATTCAGTCATTTGTAACATAAGCATTGTCTTCTGTTGTACACAGATTGTTTTAGAATCATTTTCTGGTCGGCTTGTTTGTATTGTTAAGCAAGATAATCAATATATCCTGTATGTCTGCATTTAACATATGTGGAAATGTTTCTATTGATATCCTTTTATCTTCTTAACAATAAGTTAATTTTTTAGGGGTGCCTTCAGACTGCCATTCCTTAGAATTATGTCTATTTCTTAAATTTTTGCATGAAATGATCAATACTGCATATCTCTGAACTTTTTGGGTTGTTCTGCGTAAACACTTGTTCACATACTGGAAAAAAGAGAAAGAAAAATGACTTTTTGTCCCAGTTTGACAGCAGTGTGTCCCAATTTTCTGTATACAATGTAGTTTGTTCTGGTTTTGTGTCTTAAATGAACGCAGATTTTCAGTTTTTGCAAAAATGCTTTTAAGTTGTTTACTGTATATACTACTTCTATCCTGTATATACATGTAGTTATTCTGAATGTTATTTAGATTAAATGTTTCAACAGCTTACTGGATGCATATTTAATGGGAATGCACCAAACTGGACTAGATAATAAGCATGATTATTGTTGTCATTAGCACACAGCCCCTTCGTTTACTACATTTGTCTGGAATTAAAAAAGCCTCTCATAATGTACATCTGAGATGTGAGAATTTCTGAATGTGAGAATTTCTGAATATATGATAAAGTTAATTATATTTGAATCAATAAAAAGATTTACTTGAGGCAATGCAATTGGTAGTTCAGATTTACTGTAGAAAGTAATACACACGGTGTGTTTTAATGTAATAAAGTATGGTATCTGACAAGTTTCATGTTTTCCCTATCAGAATATATCATGTTGTAGATCTAAGAACCTGACAATTTAACTGCTTCAATGATTAGTGATTTTGTTGGACATCATAAAGTCCCTGTTATGAGATGAAACTCTCTCCTAGGGAATATAGAACCTTTACTGTCTGATGCTTGAACTTGTCTTAATAGTCTCATTTAGCTTAATGAAAGTTGAAAGAACTGGCTTAGGTAATATTTTTATACAGTGTCAGTAGCAGCAAACTTGAGGGGAACACATCAGATTGGTAACATACAATTAGAATGTTTCTGTTTTAAAACACATATGAAAATTGTACATAAACAGTATAAAACATTCGGGAACAAAATATAATGCTGCAGTTTTAAAGGTCATTTTTACTGCTGTAATGTCTATATGAAAAACAACAGCATTTATGTAAGAAGAATACATGTAGCTTAAAATTGCCATTGTTCACTCAGATCATAATCATGATATGGGTCAGGACTTGCATGTATATGATTTTATGGGTTAAAACATTGTATGTTTTAATTAATAAAACTGTAGGAATGTACTTCATGGTATAATGTTTGTGTTGATTCTTTTATTTTAAGGAGCAACAGTTACAGTATACAGTAGTGAAAAAAATTACACAAAGAATCAGTACCAGTTGTTCTGTGTAGAATTTTTGTTCCTTCAAAGAAGTCAGAACACTTTCTTGTAGAATAAAGTATTGATGCCAGCTAGTATAACATGAAGTTTTAACCAGATATTCCCTGTTTTATAATCTAGTGCCTGGCTGTTTTAATGCCTTACAACACAACTGCTTTTACTATTCTATTGATTGCAGTGAATCTTGGTAAAATTTATCCTCTCAGATCTTTGTTCAATTTAGGATATAAATTTGTTACAGTTTTTCTACAGAATTGAGGTATTCATCCAATATGGTGTTAGACTGTGAATCAGGCAACCTGAGTCAATATGTAGAGTGTTGGACAGTGAATTTGGCAACCCTGGTTCGATTTCTGGACATTGCAGGTCATTTTGTTGTGATTGATCAAGAAATCACACTCTTCTGCCAGGGACCAGACTTCCCAAAATATATCTGTCCAACAGACATGTCCGATAAATTTTGATTAGGTCCGACAATTTCTATATATATTCCAGATCGGTCTGACTGTCCCACTTTAATCCAAGTTGCACATATACAAAATGGTGTCGCTAAAGGTGCCAAACCTAGGAAAAACATCAGGGGTGCGCGCAGAACAGCAGTAAAAGAATGAAAAGAATAGACCAGAGAGAAAATTTAATAAAAAATAGAAGCAGGTCCGTGAATGGTTGGTGTACGACACGGATTTGAAAATGCGCTGTACGGACTGTGCCGATTTTTATGGCAAAAAAATACAGTGCTTTTACTAAGAAAAGACGAACCAAAAAATATATATCAATTAAAAAGAAATAAGCAAAATAATGAATCCATTACAGATTATATAGCAAAGTCTGGATAGTTGACATGTAAAACACCTATAATAGATTAATAAAAGTAGGCTTATTGTAACTACTTGCAAATGCATATGATGACATGAATGGTTAAGGTAAACAGGGTAGACTGCAGAATCTGTAAAGAATTCTAAAAAGGTTAGCCATGGTCTAGTGATTAATTGTTAGTGACAAATTATTATGATGGACACAATTAAGCCAAAAGTCATCAACACTTTAAGGGGTCAGTTTGGTCAAATAAAGGATAAACTAGAAATGTGTCCATAGGACACAGGTGCCCCCACACTACACCGATTTGTCAATCTTATGTCTCTAGGTCAAATTTTATTTTGGCTACATGTGCCCAAGTTGAAAACTAAAAATCTTTTATTAAGTAAAGGGCAAATACTACAAATACTGAATTAATCCACAAGAAAACCCCAAGGTGCATAAGTGCACATGCTGACATTCTTGTAAACTTTCAGGCCTACAGGTCATAAACTTTTTGAGTTACGTGTGACACAAGTTGAAAATTGGAAATTTTTACTAATTCAAGGGCAATTACTCTAAAAATACTAAATATATCCACATGAAAATACCCAAATGCACAACTTCACATGCTGATCAACATGGTTTCATGACTCTAGGTCAAATATTTTTTGAGTTACGTGCAACACAAGTTGAAAATTTGAAATTTTTACTAAGTCAAGGGCAATAACTCTAAAAATACTAAAAATATCCACACAAAAATACCCAGGTGCACTACTACACATGCTGAGCAACATTCTTGTAAGGTTTCATGACTCTAGGTTATATACTTTTTTAGTTACGTGCGACACAAGTTGAAAATTGGAATTTTTTACTAAGTCAAGGGCAATAACTCTAAAAATACTAAAAATATCCATACGAAAATACCCAGGTGCACAACTACACATGCTGAGCAACATTCTTGAAAGGTTTTATGACTCTAGGTCAAATACTTTATTAGTTACATGCGACACAAGTTGAAAATTGCAAATTTTACTAACCAAAGGCAATAACTCTAAAAATACTAAATATATCCACATGAAAATACCCAGGTGCACAACTTCACATGCTGATCAACATTTCTGTAAGGTTTCATAACTCTAGATCAATTACTTTTTTAGCTATGTGCGACACAAAAAGTGAACGGACGGACGGACGGATGTACTCACAAAATGGTACTTATGTGACTTTTCCTTTGATCTTTTTGGCCATTTTTAGTCACACAAGGCTTAAAAAAGACACACAAGTAATGAAAGAGAATTTACTGTTACCCATTGTTCTCCAAGTCACACAAGTAGCTCTGGGTTTGTACGGATGGATGGACAAGGGTAAATCTAAAGTCCCCCCCCCCACCCTCTATAGTGGGGGCATAAAATTTTCACTGGCCAGTCCATAACAAAGGTTTACTAAAAGATCTTAGTCCATGGACAGTTCAATACTGATTCTTAAATTATATGCGAATGATCTTCCATCCAAAGAAGTATTCAACAAAGTTTTTGCTTATCTGTGGAATTCCATATCAGTAGCATGAATTTTTTACATATCTTCAGTATAATATTATTATTTTAGATAAATGCAGCTGTTTTATGTCTGTCAGATGTAACTTTATTATTGTAGGTAAGAATCTCTGACCTATATTGTTTACTTGTTAATATTCAATGATATTTCCCCTGGTAACTGCCAGACTTTCCAGGTTGTGTAAACATTGTTATCTGATAAAATACATCTTTAAAACTTGTTAATTACAAAAGAAATCAATCTGTAAACAAAATTGCCATGGATTTGCCAAAAATAATCCTGATAGGCTAGAAAAGTCAACATAAATAAAAAGAGACTTGCTTGATTTGTATTTCTGTTAGGCTTAGCAAATTATGGATAAATGATCAACTTCAAGTAACTCAAACTTAGATCTTAAGTAAAACAAACTTAGATCTTATGTAACTGATTAGTCAGAAAACAGCAGAAAAATAAGACAGAACTAGGAAAAATGTTTTTACCCTCAAGGTAAGAGCTATGAAGCTTCCATTTACACAGTCCTTTACCAGATTTGGACATTTCTAACTACCTTAGTGACTTATGGATCTTTTTTTTTCATATTTGAAAATGAAACACTTTCTACATAGTGTATGCATCATTATCCAGCTAAGTACAATCTCCCATCATTATTTGTGTAAGATAAGAAAAATAAAATGTTTATGAATGATAGAATTTTTAATTGGCATATTTTTTATCTGATTTAAAACACATATTAACACATATTTAGTTTCTTCTTGAATATGTTAATTCACATTGTGGATTGCATGGCCAAGTGCTTAACACATCAAGACTAGCAATCTAGGGATCACTAGATGTGTGGGTTTTAACTTGTCAGGGGCAAGCAGTGGTTTCCTTGAGCAAGAAACTTTTCACTCATTGCTCAGTACAGGTTATCTTTAGCTTATAGCTTTCTACAGAATTGAACTAAAATAAATTCTGTTTGTAAACATTGATGCTGAAAAAATAAAAATATAATAATAAAACATTCATCAATTTTGACATCCATCAATATGATTTACGTTGAAGTAGTCATGAAATTATCATTTTACCCCCTTATATAATGTTGTGGGGGCTATACTGGAATCACTTGTTACATTGGTCAGTCCGTCCATATCCCATCAAGTCCACTCTATAAAGCCCTTGAAGGATTTTCTTCAAACTTAAATGTTGACCTAGAAAAGTTGATGTGAGGAACCCTTGCCACCTTTGTGCAGACTCAAGGTCAAAGTCACCCTTGAAGTTCAAAGGTCAGATATTAGACAATTTTTGTCTACTCTATAAATCCAATACCCCTTTAAAGATTTTCTTTAAACTTGGCCCAAATTTTCACCTTTACAAGGCCATGAGCAAAATCATTCTGCCACTGTGCAGGGTCAAGGTTAAGGTCATCTTTGAAGGTCAAAAGTCAAACAGTATAAATTCTTTACTTTTTCAATGTTTTATTTCAAAAATAGTGATAAATTGCACTATATAATATCCAGCGTCATACAGATCAAACTGAAAGTTTGCATACTGAAAAACCCTTGATCTTATATTTGGGTAAGTAATAAATGTCGATTACTTTTATATACCTGATAAACAGACAGTGTGAACATATGTTTTTATACTGCTTTGATCTGATCAATTGTTTAGATTAGAAATGAAATATACTCTCTGGGTATCTAATATTTGGATATTGAGAGAAATGTAAGAGAAAGTAGTTATGTTCATTATGTTTAGCTCAACCAACACAACTTGCCAGTGATCCAGGCTACAAGAGCTAAAAATAGAAAATAAAATATGTTAAATAACATAATACTTAAAGGCTGTGCTAATCTTGATGAAAATAATAGTTTATAATTACATCTCCTCCTTAACTGTTTGGTGTTTTCTAAATGAAACTCAACAAGAATGATCTTCAGGACTGGTGGTCTTTTACAAAATATATAAAATCTAAAATCATTCCTTTGCTTTGAACTACAGCTAATTATAGAAATAAGCTTACAGCTAATTATAGAAATAAGCTTAAACATCAAATTTTGTCGAAACTCTTATATTGATTCTTTGGTGGTTCTGTACAAATAAGAGAAATTTGTTCTGTTCTTTGAACCACATGATTGTGAAAAAAAAGAAAAGAAATAAGCTGTAAAATCTCCTAAATTTCACTGTAGATTTTAATAAACCTCAATAGAAATGATCCTCAGGTGGTCCTGTAGCCAAATTCATTAATGGTCAGCTGAACAAAAAATTAAAATGGGCATGACATGAACAACTTGATTGTTTTGACAAAGGTCAATAGGAATGGTGTTTACATGATACTGCTGGTGTCGGACCTTAAAATAGGAGTAAGCTTTAAACAGCGTTTTCACAATTGTTGGGCAGATTTTTATGAAACAATGTTTGTAATAAGCTAATAATGAAAATGATATCTTAAGGGCCATCAAGGTGGTAAGTCTTAACATGACATAAGATGGCTATCAGAGGCATAAATAACTTTGTGTAGAATTCTGATAAAATTCTTTCATATAAGGAAGCTGTCCAGCACACTTTCAGAATGTTGATGGTTCTACATGTACTTTGATGCATGAAAGGGTACCTGAGGTCTTCCTCCACAAGTTACCTTATGACCATTACAGTCTGTGTGACTTCAAACCCAACCAAAAATACAAAAGTAAACCTAAAATGACAAAATCTTCCCTCACAGCTGTAGGGCAGATTTTGCCAAAACTTTAGAGATATTTCTTACATGGTACTGTGTAAAAATCGAAGAACTGATGGAAGGTTTAGTGACATCTGCTGTGCTTGGCAATTTTGATCAAACACAAATAGAATTGAGTATTTGATCATACTGTAGAAGAAAGCTAAAATTATTTGATCTGCTGAATTAATTGACTGGAAGATTAAGAGTTAAGATCTTTGAAATGGTATAAACTATGATATTATTGCCTGGACTGTGTCTTATATAAGGACCCACTTACTATTGTATATTTTTGCTGTTTTTCAGGAAGGCCAGGTATTGGAGATCTCACAGGTGAATGATATCAGATTGGGCCTGCCTCCCAAGATTAATGTAAGTAGATAATTTACACTAAAGTTATTAGTTCTGTAAAACCTACAGTGATTTATGGTGGGTTAGTTGGTTAAAACTTTTAGATTACTGTGACCTTGATTGTTGTTGCAATCACTACCTATAGAGGGAAAACTTTAACGCAGGCAAAACACTAATTTAGATATTGAATCTTAAACAAGTATTATGAAAATTCACACCATTTCAAAAGTAGCAATAAGCAAAGGTCAAGGCAACTGTTGCCTTGACCCATGAATAATTAAGAATACTTTGGCCTACAGTTCTAAGATTTGATGTTGAGGTTGATCTTGACATGAGGTCATTGGTCAAAGGCTTTTACGAAAATAAAATGATAAAAATCATTATGATCAAAAGCTAGTCTTTAGCCTTGGTGGGTAGATTGGTCATTGTGTTGTTGGAAATGTTCTGGAAAGTACATTAGTATTACAGATTCATTATGTTTAACTGGCGTTGATAAGGAACAAAAGGAAAATACATACATTTATACTTGTACTACTTGTATATAGTACTACTATATACTAGTACTACAGCACGCTGAGTATTGTAATAAAGTGTCATTTATTGAGACAAATTTTCCATAATGAAAAATTCAAGATAACTCTGCTTACATGTTCCTAGATTTCCACATGATGGCCATTTCACTGCTTGTTCATAAAACTGTGAATGTTTCCATAATGTAGAGATTTGTCTTTTCTGTTAAATTTTGTTTCCCAGAAAAACAAGAGGTTGATGGATTGAGCACATTTTCCTGATATAAGAATGTTATACTTCCTTTTATCTATTGATTTTCACTCAAAATTACTTTGACATTCATCATTGTGCATTAGAGTGTTTTGAAAGTGCAATCTTCTAATTGATTTAGTCAGATTAATTAATTGATAAAATAATAGAATTTTGTGGGTTAAAGTGCTGTTGATTTTATGGAATTTCAATTAGTCCATTATAAGGCAATCCTCAGAAATACTGTGTTTACATGGCCATGTTATGTAATGTGCATTTTTTTAGTAATTTTTCTTTCTCTGTTTTTAGTTAAAAAGTTATTTATATTTTAATTTACTTTTATTCTTTGTTATTTACCTTTATTCTTCCATTCCTTTGGTGTCGCAAAACAGAGATCCAAATTCCCCTCATCTGCTTCTCTTTAACAAGTAATATGTGTGGCAGAATGAGGAAACATATGTAGTCTGCACGTCTTATAGGACAAATAAGAAATCAACAAAATGGAATATACACTGTATCTAGAATGACCATAGTTGATGTGTTAACATTTAGCCAACAATTCTATAAGTACATTTTGGTATATATATGTTGGGTTTAAATGGCACTGCCCTTATGTGATCAAATGACTTATCTCTGAATTGAACTGTTACAACCTTTTCTAGCAATTGATCTAAGGCGAATGAGAAAAGGCAAACATAGCCTACTTGTTATAATGAAATAGTATGGTTTTAGCCGATTGAGTTTTTTGGAGCATTGCATGATAAAATCTAGTCTTTAGAGGTAGTGCTTATGAAATATGGTTCCTGACTTCACCAAGGACTAAATTTTCGCCACCTCTTAGCCTAATGCACCAGATATTGAGATCTTTAAATTACTCTTAGGAGACCTTTTTCTTCAATTTAGAACAACTTTTCATGTGTTAATAATCTGAACTTTAAGCCTATAGAAAGACCATGTGTGCAGTCATTGGAATTTGTAACATTATTTCCTTAAATAATATACACAGCTGTTTAGGTGAAGCTCAGTTGAAGTTGGTGATTAAGTGTCTCCTAACTGTCCTAAAGTCTTCTTGATTCAGTTCATAAAAATTGACCATTTATATACAATGTACATACCCATTGTGAGACAGTTATATTGGCAAGTCCATTTCATTTTATATTATGCAAATGCCTGACTGTAATCAATTATTGATTTCTTGTTTGTACTTTCTAACTCCTGATATTTTAGACTTACAGTACTTCATAAAACAACAATGAAGGGTATTATTATTTTATGCCCCTGTTTATTTATCCATCTGTCAATCTATTTGTTAGCAATTTTGTATCCGCCCTTTAAATCTGAAATCCCTTTAAGGATTTTCATGATGATTTTGGTTCAAATGTTCACCTAAGTGAGACCATGTCCAGGATGCTGCAAATTGCAGCTTGACCAAGTGGTGAATGCATTGGACCAGTAATCTTAAGAATCATTTTCTGCATGGGTTCAAACACTTTTGGGGGGCAAGCCTGTTTTTTTTAGCAAGAAATTTCACTCTTATTGCTCAGTACTGGTAGGTTCCATTACTGGCTTTACCCTTCTCCAGCATGAATCAAAATAGGTGAGCGATCTGTCTAAAACAGACTGTAAACTAATTCTGATACTTTCGAAGATATTTTCTTTCTGTTCTGACTAAGTTTTTCACAGTAGTTAATTCTTGCATTTAATTCGTTAATTTGAAATCATGTTGCCAGAATAAATCATCAGATTATAGACTGTTAGACTGGTCAGCCATTCAGGATATCTAAATATTTGGATAATGGATGTGAATAATTAGACTGGTCTACCATCACAGGATTTATATATATAGTAAATAAGATGATTGCTATATGCTAGTCTGCTATATCAGGATTTATCATGATGTGATGTGAATAAATAATCCTTTACCTTTCCCAGCCTAGACAAATTGACCAACACAACATGACATATAGTTGTATGTTTAATTGTCATATATTATTGCTATAATGTAATTGGCCATGTAGCAACATTAGTTTCATTATTCTCTGATACAGCTCAGGGGCAGGAACAAGATGTCAGACCTCTGCACTTAACAGTTTGTATGTCTATAAACATGCTTGGGGCAAGATAAGAAATATTGTCTTGAGAAAGGAATCTTTACCCTATTAGATCAGAGTGTGTTACATAGCAACATTTATTCTTGAAATTACAGTTCTTGCCTTTTTCTTTTCAGAGTTTTATCAACAAATTTAGTACCTTTAATTGTCTTGCATGTAGGATTTCAGTCAGAATTATGAGTGCATAGAGAATATAGTAACAGAACTGTGTAGCAGGCACAATAATGTCTTTAAAGATAGTTGTTCAACTTTAATGTTAGTTATACTGCATTTTCTTTTTTTGATTGGGAACCGATTGTTATAATCGATGGATATGAAATGATCATAAGTTATGTGTTTATCTAAGTTTGTACTTGGAGTCATGTAATGCTCGAATTTTTGCTATTAAGAAAAACACAACTTTTAAGATGTTGTACTTAAATTCTTTTCTCCTATTCAACCAGTCACAGTGAAATATTTTGACAAGGCAAGGTACATTGTTTACTAGTCTGTAAAGGGAGGGATATTTTTGTATACTTGCGACTCAAAGAATTTGACAGGAAGAATTTGTTAGTATTTTGAGATATGCATATAAAGTTGAATCATTTATCATTTCAGGATCCTAAGGTGATCATTGATTTGGAACAGAAAGGAACAGGTGGACTTGAAGCTCGAACTGTTACCATCTGTAGTGGGCTGGACTTTGTGAATATCAATTACACACCAATGATAGCAAGAGATCCTGAGACAGCTAAGGTACCACACTGAAATGAAAACATTAGTTATTGTTGTAAACACTGGTATGGAAAGCTTTAATGTAGTAAAGGTTATTGACTGCTGTAAGTTCAAATCTCGTCAGATACTTTCGATTATTTCATCTATCTATCTTACTATATTTGTTGGTGGTTCTACTCAGGTGCCTTCTTGTGTCTGAAATAATAAACAGGAACCTGTTAAGCTGGAAAGTCAGTCTGACCTTTATAGTGTCAGTGTGACTTAAATTCAACAAAACTAACAATCTTTGATTGAGTTATGGAAAATATAAAAATCACATTATTTCATATTAGCTTTACATGTGACCTTAGGTAGAATGTATTTAGATAGGCAGCTTTTATGACAAAAATACATGGTCACAGTTAAATGGTAAAAGTCATGTCCACAAGTTAATTATCTTTGATTGCTTATAAGGTTAAATCTTTAGTTAACTATCTGTTACTGTTTCTAGGGTTTAGTATAAAGTTGTTTTCTTTAGGTTTTGTGTAAAAATAGCAATCTTTGACTGTTTCTAAGGTTCAGCGCAAAGTTAGCAATCTTTGACTTTTTCTTATGTTTAGCAAGAAGTTAATTAACTTTTACTGTTTCTAAGATGTTGTCTTTAACTGTTTTTCTAAGGTTTAGTGAAAAATTTACTGTTTTTCTTAGGTTTGGTACAATGTTTGGCATTGTTTGCCATTTGACTTTTCTAAGGTTTAGTCCAAAATAAACCATCTTTAACAGTGGCAAAGTAAGCAATCTCTTACTGTTTCTAAAGTTAAACGCAGAGTTAATGATCTTTGACTGTGGCAAAGGTAACCATTTAGGATTTAGTGCAAAGTAAATGATTTTTCACTGTTTCTAAGGTTTATCACAATGTTCAGATCTTTGACTGTTGACTGCTATGTGGTTAAGTGCATGTCATATATTAAAGGTCTATGTCTGTTTCTGCGGTAAAGATCATTTTCACAAATAAGGGTCTGTATTTTTAAAGTGAAAAACTGCAGAAATGCCCTGGGGATGAGCATCCTGTTATCAATTGACAAAGTATATATATATGTTATCTATTATATTTTCATACTTCACTATAGATCTGTTTGATGGATATAATATTTAGAGACTTTCTTGTGGCATTTGCTGTTTATTCTGACAGAAAACTTTTGAGACTAACCTTATCAGATAAATGAAGAATTTACAGATAATAAGGAAACCATATTGTTCTAACTGATATACATTCTCCAGGCATCTGGCTCTGATATTTATTCTTGTAATAGAGTTGGTCAAAGAATATTTTATAATGAAAGCTAAATCTTTTTTCAATCTAAGCTAGTGTAATGTAGGCAAATAACAGATTTTACAGTGGCTAAAAGTTCAAAGTTCATTTCTGCCATTGGTACTATTGTTGAACAAAATAATTCATTGAGGTTCATTTATTTTTCATCATCTCTTTCTTTTAACTAAGCATGTTTGGTACAGACAGTCATGTTGAATTACTTATAAAATGTTGTACTCTTGTATGTAACAGTAAATTAAATTATAAAGTGTGTGTGTGATGTGGAAAAATAAAGTTCTATGAGACTTGTTTGATGAATTTATTATATTATAGGAATTTTAAAAACTGTGAATGGTTAGCATCTGTTTAGAGTTTATGTAGGACCAAATTTTTGCAAAGCCATAAAATTAATACAGAGATGTGAATTTGGGTATTTTGAGGTAGCAGTGATGTTTGTTGGTAGCTAGCAGTGATGTTTGTGGGTAGCTAGCAGTGATGTTTGTGGGTAGCTAGCAGTGATGTTTGTGGGTAGCTAGCAAGTTGATGTTTGTGGGTAGCTAGCGGTTGATGTTTGGGTAGCTAGCAGTGATGTTTGTGGGTATAGGTAGCTGAGATGTTTGTGGGTAGCTAGCAGTGATGTTTGTGGGTAGCTAGCAGTGATGTTTGTGGGTAGCTAGCAGTGATGTTTGTGGGTAGCTAGCTGAGATGTTTGTGGGTAGCTAGCAGAGATGTTTGTGGGGTAGCTAGCAGTGATGTTTGTGGTAGCTAGCTCTACGAGATGTTTGTTGGTAGCTAGCTGAGATGTTTGTGGGTAGCTAGCAGTGATGTTTGTGGGTAGCTAGCGGTGATGTTTGTGGGTAGCTAGCGGTGATGTTTGTGGCAGGCTTTCTACTGGTCCCTACTTTTCCTACTTTTCCTACTTTTCCCTAGTTTTTTCTTTTGATCCCTACTTTGCCCTACTTTTTTCTGAAATAGCCCTATTATCCCTACTTTTTCATTTTGAAATGAAATGAAAAAAAGAAGATATTTAAAATGGTATTTCAGTTGTATTTTCAGTTGCAATTGATGAGTAGTTAAGGTGTGTTAGTGTCTCCTTGTGATGTCCATCCTTGAAAGACTCATGGTCAGAGCTGCATTACTGGTACTGGTACTGCAGTATATACTGGAGCAATTTTGCAAGTACTGGTACTGATACTGAATTATTCTTACAAAAGTTTGCTACTACTCAGGTACTGGTACTGCATTACTGTCTTAAAAAAGTGGTACTGCTACTGCATTACTAGGCAGTATTTTTGGTTTTGATAAAAATGTCATTATTTTTACTCATAAAGTAAAGCTGTAAATTCCATGTATTATTTTATTTTTGTGAAAAAGTAAGTTATCAAATCTATTAATGATTTGCTGCAATATTCCTTCAAATGTTAACATAGTATTCATCATAAAAAAGCACCAAAGACTTAAAGTAAAATTAAATTGAGATAAACAGAGTCAATAACTCTTTACTGGTAAAATATCCTTATTGCAATCTTATTACTTTGTATTTACTAGTAAAAAAAGAGCAAAATAAACACTAATATTGTCCAACAACATTGACCTGGCACTCTTGCATTTGACCCCATAGTCGGTAAATTCCGTAAACGTTACTATCTATTGTAAATCGATATGAATGTATATAACCAGTTGTTAAATGATCTAAATTACAAATCCCTCTTAGCACAGTCGTAAAGTGCTTTCACTTCAAGAATATAGATGCACACTCGTAGGTTCAAATCCTGGTTCAGCCACTTTTATAAAAAAAAATTCTTATTTTAAAATTGCTATTTATCTCTTAACTCATGCAAAATGTTTTGAGTTTTTGGTTGTGTATAAATTTTAATTTGTATTATGGACGTGCTGTCCTTTTTATTAATTAAAGATAATGTAATGAAATAAAAAATAAAATTGTATAAAAACACTACTTAAAAGGTATCCTAAAAACCAGATGTAGTAAAACGATCTCAAATTAATTCTTGCAAGTTATTTTTTCAAAATGAAATAAAAAAAATGTATGTCCTCATAACGTGGTGTTGGTAAGGTATCGAACCAGGGAACTTTAGATCAGTAGTCAGGCATCTATACCAATACACCACAACTCATTGACGTGTGAAGTTAATAAAGATATTGATATATTCGTTAGATACCACTGTTTATCACCAGCCCTTTATGGAAATTAATGAAGTGCCAGGTCAATATTGTTGGACAATAAATTACTTCTATTCTAAATAATCATATTTCAAGTGATATTGTTAGCACCATAAAAAAGTTATTTACTTTGGTATAAATTGAACAGAGGTGTGAAGGTGTAAAAGGCAACAAAAAGACTGGTGGGTTTAAAATGTAAGATTATTGCATTGTACTACAGTTGACTGGTTACAAAACAATAACATATGACATGAATATATGATGATTATTGTTTGTAAAAAGTATGTTTGTTCATTTAAGTTGTAAAAATGTAATGTCAACATTAAAGTAAATGATTTTATTTCTTTGTTGAAGAATGTTTGCAATTATTTTGAATGACACTGTGTATTTATTCAAACTTTGATGAATATATAAAGGTATTAGTACTGGTACTTAATTACTTCCCCCAAAAAAGTACTGGGTACTGCAGTACCAAGCTAAAATCAAGTACTAGTACTGGAAATTGTACTGCAAAACTTGGCAAGTACTGGAACTGGTACTTAAGTACTACAGCCTTAGTACTGATGCAGCTCTGCTCATGGTGCCTTGGCAAAACATTCAGCAACATTCTGCCTATGAAGGTGAATGTCTTTCAAGCATGGACTGAACTGAAGATACACACACAGCCTGATGTGGTCTTGGTGATGGTATGTTTTGCTAATTCTTAACTAAAACGGTAAGAAATTCCTACTTTATCCCTAGTTTTTAACATCAGAAATCCCTACTTTGCCCTACTTTTTGGTAAAAAAATGCCCTACTTTTTCCCTAGTTTTTTTGGTAGAGGCAGTAGAAAGCCTGTTGTGGGTAGCTAGCGGTGATGTTTGTGGGTAGCTAGCAGTGATGTTTGTGGGTAGCTAGCGGTGATGTTTGTGGGTAGCTAGCAGTGATGTTTGTTGGTAGCTAGCGGTGATGTTTGTGGGTAGCTAGCAGTGATGTTTGTGGGTAGCTAGCTGTGATGTTTGTGGGTAGCTAGCGGTGATGTTTGTTGGTAGCTGTGATGTTTGTTGGTAGCTAAGCTGAGATGTTTGTGCGGTAGCTAGCAGTGATGTTTGTGGGTAGCTAGCAGTGATGTTTGTGGGTAGCTAGCTGAGATGTTTGTGGGTAGGTAGCAGTGATGTTTGTGGGTAGCTAGCAGTGATGTTTGTGGGTAGGTAGCGGTGATGTTTGTGGGTAGCTAGCGGTGATGTTTGTGGGTAGCTAGCAGTGATGTTTGTGGGTAGGTAGCGGTGATGTTTGTGGGTAGCTAGCGGTGATGTTTGTGGGTAGCTAGCAGTGATGTTTGTGGGTAGGTTTGCAGTGATGTTTGTGGGTAGCTAGCGGTGATGTTTGTGGGTAGCTAGCGGTGATGTTTGTGGGTAGGTAGCGGTGATGTTTGTGGTTAGCTAGCGGTGATGTTTGTGGGTAGCTAGCAGTGATGTTTGTGGGTAGCTAGCGGCGATGTTTGTGGGTAGCTAGCGGTGATGTTTGTGGGTAGCTAGCGGTGATGTTTGTGGGTAGCTAGCTGTGATGTTTGTGGGTAGCTAGTAGGGCTGTGCAT